TACCTTTGTCCCTGACATGAACTTGCCCTTCCCTATCCTTGATGACATTGAGTTCTATAGTCTCAGTAGGAGGGGGTGGTGCAAGAACAACTGGTTCCACCATAGGAATCACTTCACAGCAAGGCTTTCCCTGAAGGGAGGACTGGGACACCAGAGAGGACAAGAAATAGGACTGAGACTCAAAAAAAGTGACATCCATGGACACAAACCACTTAAGAGATGGAGGGTGATAACACTTATACCCCTTTTGAGTAGGAGAGTACCCAAGGAAAACACATTTGAGGGAACGAGGGTCCAACTTACCACGAGTAGGAGAGTGATTATGGACAACACAGACACAACCAAATATTTTGGGAGGAATAGAAAACAAGGACTGGAAACCTAAGAGGACTTGAAAAGGAGCTTGTTTTTGCAAGACCTGGGTAGGAAGACGATTAATAAGATGGGCAGCAATGAGAACAGCGTCGCCCCAGTAGGACCGAGACATACTCATAGAAAAACACATGCATCGAACCATCTCAAGAAGATGGCGATTTTTACGTTCCGCCACCCCATTTTGTTGAGGGGTATTGGTGCAAGAGGTCTGATGGATAATACCATGAGTAGAAAAAATATTGCCCTAATCCAGAATCTATGTATTCACACCCATTATCAAAACGAAATATTTTGACAGTGACCCCAAACTGAGTACAAATCATCTTATGAAAATTGCTAAACACAGAGAAAACCTCACTCTTGTCTTTCATGAGATACACCCAAGTAGTACGAGAAAAATCATCAATAAATGTAACAAACCAGCGATGACCTTTCAAAGACACAACACAAGATGGACCCCAGACATCAGAATGTATTAATAAGAAAAGAACTAAACTTTTATTAAAACTAGGAGCAAAAGAAGCTCGGTGCTGTTTTCCAAGTTGACAAGACTCGCAAAGAAATCCAGACACATTATTGTTTGAAAAAATAGGTGGAAATAAGTGTTTAAGTAAATAAAAAGAAGGATGCCCAAGGCGCCGATGCCACAGCCATATATCATCGGTAGTAGTAAGACTCATGGTGGAATAAGCAAGTCTGTCCGGTTGATCGAGGAAGTAGAGACTATTTTCTGCACTACCACTGCCAATCGTCCTCCTCGTGACAAGGTCCTAGAAAAGACAATGATCAGGAAAAAATGTCACACTACAATTCAAATCCTTTGTAATACGACTCAAGGATAGTAAGTTAACAGAAAAATTGAGAACATGGAGAACAGAAGAGAGAGGTAAAGTAAGAGTGACATGGACTAAACCTTCCCCAGAAATAGAAGAAACAGTACCATCTGCAATCTTAACTTTGTCCTGACCTAAAGAGGGCATATAGGCAGAGAAAAGGTCAGAGGAACCAGACATATGATCTGAGACACCAGAATCAATAATCCAGGGAAAAGACGTATGAGACAGGAAAACACAAGGAGAAAAGGCTACGTTACCTGAGCGGGCAAATGAAGAGGAAGATGTACTGAGAGCAGTAGAAGACCAGCGGTCTAGCAAGTGATGCAGAACATCCTCAAGATCATGAGTAGTCATGCTAGAGAGACCATTAGAAGCCTGGCCAACGGAAGCAGAATCAAGTGTATCAATAGCACTAGACTGATGAGCTCGTGGATAGGAGCCACGTCCTCTAGACTGGCCTGACCGACCGCCTCTAGAACCAGACCGATCACCTCGACTCCCGGATAGAGTCCCATGAAGCTTCCAACACGTCTCACGAGTATGCTACGGCTTCTTACAGTAATCACAAAATACAGACTCCTTGGCGGCAGACGGAGGAATAGGAGTTAGGCTGAGGCCATCTCTTGAGGTAGACAGTAATGCTGAGCAATCGGTAGAGACAGAGGACATCATAGCAGACCGACGACTCTCCTCATTCTGTACATAGGCAAAGGCCTCCTGAAGTGAAGGAAAAGTGTCCATACTCAGAATCCGACTTCGAACCGGATCATACTCTACATTAAGACCAGCTAGAAACTTGAAGACCCTTTCCTGTGCAATAAACTTCTGGTACCCGACTGAATCAGTAGTGCAAACAGGCTTATAGTCCTGCAGGTGATCAAGGCGTTCCTAGCCATTAATGATGAAGGTGAAGTACTGAAAAACCGTCTGCTCCCCCTGAACAGAGCTCTCAATAGAGCGGCGTAACTCAAATGCCTGTGAAAAATTCCCTTTGCGGGAATAGGTAGTAGCCACAACATCCCAAACATCTTGGGCAGTCTCCATAGATAAGTAGCCCTCACCAATGTCTGGCACCATCGAATGAATAAGCCAACCCACAACCAAAGAGTTGGTAATCTCTCATTGGTCATAACCCGGGTCAGTTGTGTTGGGTGCCTGTATCCGGCCATCCACATACCCCCATCTTCCCTCTGCTCTTCAAAAACATAGTCAAACTCTTCGACCACGCGAGATAGTTCTGACCATTAAATAGAGAGGTAGTGATTTTAAGACTAGGGTTGTGGTTATCGGTCATAGTAATAATAGGTATAGGTAAACTCTCACTCCTAGGTGTCTGAGAAGTAATGGACACATCGGTGGAATCTGCCAAAGATACTGTACTAGTGAACCCTCAACAAAACTAGTGCCAATCACAAACCCGGAAGGTAGAGGAATACAAACACAATGACCACTAAGAAAATTAAAGACTTAAAATCTCATTAACCTCTTTTTTTTTTTTTTTACTGCATTGATTTTTTATTTATATATAAACATAGTTGTCAAATCGAGATTCGTATCGTGAATCGAAATGACCTTGTAGCGAATCGCGAATCGAATCGAATCGTGAATCGTAAAGATTCGATCACTTTTTTAAAATTACTTAAAAATATATATTTACACATTTAGATGTTAAATATATCTTATGAATATGAAATATTTAGACTTAAATCAATGAAAATGTTATTTTGCGTGATAATCACGTAGTTTAATAGGTAAGAAGTTAACAAAGATTCTTATGTAAGATCACTATCTTACTTAAGATCACTATCTTACTTTTTTTCTTTTTAGATATTTTTTATCAACCATTCTTAATAAAGATAATAACCAAATAGACAAATTATCAATTTCCAAAATAACAATAATTAATAACGATATTGATATTTGGACAATAAGCATCCGTACTTTTTTAAGTAACAATGAGCAAATAATAAGAAAGAATTATTTAGAATATTTTATTTTAAAGCCTAAAACATTTTCAAAGGTATAACAGACCTCACATATGTAATATTCAATTATATTCAATTTAATAAAATAGTAATAGATAATTCATATTGTAACTTTAATCTTACACATCTTTAGAAGATATATTATGAATTTTTAAAGGGAAAAAAAAATAAGAAGAAAGGTTAAAAATATGTTGGGTCTGACTGAATCTGATTGGATTCTATTAAAAATTTCATGAGCACTAAAATAACAACAAATTATGTATATATGTTGGTTATTTTAGTATTAAACGCTATTAAAAGTTGTATTATGTCATTTTCACTAAAAACATGGAAAAAAAAAATAGTCGAAATATGCCGGACACAATAATTTAAAAAATTACATGAATCATAAAAAGTGAATTGAATCGTAAATCGATTGTGAATCGTGCGATTCACTAGAGATGTACTTCCAAAATATATTCACCCATAGATTCGTATCGATTTTGCAAAAAATTTGAATCGAATCATGAATCGAATCGCGAATCGTAAGATTTTGATAAAAGAGATATTCACTTATAGATTCGTATCGATTTTGCAAAAATTGTGAATTGAATCGTGAATCGAATCGCGAATCGTAAGATTCTGATAACAGAGTATATAAATAAGAAATCTCTACATATATAATTTAAGATGAAAGGGAAAAACGAAGCAGCTATTGAATACCGAATGTAACTCACATCATCACGTAACTCAGCGAAGCAAAGGTAGGTGTCGACAGGGACAGACGACAACAACACACCCTTTCTCGTCCCTCGCTGACGATGCTAAGGCCAGGAGGCTTGACGTCAGTGCCCGACTGGGCTGGGAGAGCCCAACGACTGGCTCTGTGATGGCTCTGTGTGTGACGATTGGTTCTATGACGCCTGGTTCTGTGACGATTGGCTCTATGATGAGAACCAGAGGGATGTGACGCCTGGTTCTAGGGTGGCGATGGTGGTGATTGACGGCTGTATGGGTGAGGAATTTAGGTTTTAGGGTTTGGCTTTGATACCATGTTATTTTAGAGAATTCAAGATTAGGGTATGATTAGGTTATCATCCCCTATTTATATTAATGAAGTTAATAATTACAAGAGGAGCCCTACGGCATAGAATAATTACAAAATAATAACTAAAATAATAATATACTATTCTAACAGTTATATGTATGCACGTGATGATTGTATCCAGTATCATAATATTGTGCATGATCTGAATTCCGTAAATATTTGATTTGTCATCGGCAAATATTATTTTATTTGGTAAAGCATCACTAGTCTCTTTCTGGACAAGTTACTTCATCAAAATATATTCTCAGTTCCATCCTAGTGCCTTCTAATATGCATGTTTAGTATAAGCCAAAATTACTATCTTTTTCTACACCAGGGATATAAAACTGAAATATTTGATCATCGAATAAGGATTATCCACAGAGATAACTATCATGTAATAAGGCTTATCCACATAGATAACTACATTTTGTTTTAGAGATGCACTTTCTATGGAGATGGCCCGCACAAAATTTAGTCTTATTTTCCTACACCTGTAAAACACTGCAATAGAAAGTGACAGTGATCACTAAGCAAAGCCTAATCAGCACATGAGAGCAACTAAGACAAACCTAAAATGGGTGAATCTATTAGAAGGAACATTTAGTAAGTGATGAGGAAGACCAGCTTTCCATTGTACCATCATTTTGGAGCTGTCAAGAATAAATCTTAATTAAAGATTTAATAGGTTATGTTAATGTTGAAGCCATTCCACTAGTTTTTTACACCTTTTAAGTGTGAAAAATGAGTTTGCCAGCACTCCCAATTTGCTCCATTCATCAAATAGAATACCTACTTTATTACACAACTCTTGGGTCGTAATTAACAAAAGAGATAAGTGAGAAAACATAAAAAATAAAAATCATTCATGTGGCTGAGGTAACGACCAGAAACTTGTGTTTTCAAAAATAAGTGGAAAGATTCCGGGTCAAACCTCGGAGACAGTACCTTGCAACTTACATATCACCAAATGTTTAGGTTGCAGAAAGCCCCTCTCTGTTGATAGAGTTCACTGTATGCCTTCAAGGCCTCATCACTCAACTTACAATATGATCAAACATGAGAAAAGCTTGGGAACATCACCCTGCAACTTATGAACCGCATAATTAGATTAGTGAACCTCACATATCTGTTGGTAGAATACATTATATGCTTTCAAAGTTGCATCAGAAAGTAAGATAAACATGACAAAACACAAATTTATGATTCAATTCAACTATTATGAGTCGAGTCCAAAAGACAATAAATCGTTATTGGTTGCAAGTTGAAAGCTGATAATCATAAAGCAAAAGCTAAAAACATCTTTCCCTTTGCTTCCCAATAATCAGTTTTTTCAGCTTATTTAAACTATTTTTGCCTCATAAGCTATAAGTAGAAATTGTATCAAACACTTTGGCAGATTCCCATAATAATAATAATAATAATAAACAATAAGCTACACCAAATAGGACATATACCTCACGAAGAGTGATACTTCAAAATATCTTCTTTCTAGGCTACCACTCTTTACCAAGACATAACTTTCTCAGGAATTATAGCGCTATCAACATATAGCCAAACATAATGAAAGGTGCTACTTCATTGGTTTTACATGGTACAAAAAGAACAGTTAAAAATAGCTTTTCATAGCCACACAAGGGTTCTACTTTGAATTATCTCCTTCAAAGGCCACCGATCTTTACCCTATGTACTCACCGATGGTACATCTCCTAGTTCGAACACCAGACCAACTGAATATTGGCATTGAAAACTGAAAAAAGATATGGAAACATTTCAGCCCCACATAAAATATTTAGAATCCAACCATTTTCTTGGATACTTCACAAGACTTCTTTGAGATTATTCCTAGAAATTTTCAGAGAAATTTGGTATCAGCTTCCACAAATTCTTCCCTTTAGAGTTAGGCACATAAAAAAGGAGCAACCTTCTGCAGACATTCTTTTCATTGAAACAAAACCCCATCTAGCATAGGGTTATTTTCTCCACAATAAACATGAAAGAGGTGTTCAAGGTCAAATCTCGGCTTAAACCAATTTTAACCAGAAATTCATCAGTGTCCCACCCAGTAGTTTTAAATACTTACATTTAAGAACGTATTTCTCCCCATTTCTGTTTATAACAACTACCTCATGATATAATCATTTCAAGCACTAACATAGTGATGTAGAACCAGCTGGGATAAGAAGAAGAACAAGAAGAGAAGAAGAGGAGGAGGGAAGAGAGTAAGAAAAGAAACAAAAATAAGAGAATCTGCCAAGGAGGAGAGAGAGGTATGCAAATACTTAAATCAATTCAATTATCCAAAAATCTAATAAAATTCATTACACTAATCCCTATATAGAGGCTAAAAATAAAAACAAATAACTATACTCAAATTAATCTCCTAAACAAATTTAAACTCCTAATTAACTCAAAACTCTTGGTTGTTGCCTCCTTTAGGATCTCCATCAATTCTCCCTGGCTGGGTAGAATTCTACTCCAGAGAGCAAAGGCAGCCTATGTTGCACGGACACGGACACGACACGGACACGCAAAAACGCAATTTTTCAAAAAATAGGGGACACGACACGCTGGGGACACGTTTAATATATATAATTTTATTTATTTATTATATGTCTAAAATAAAAATAAAATTATTAATTCTTATACAATCAAAATAATAATAAAATTAATAAATATATTTTTAAAAAAAAAATTAATAAAAAATGAGTTTTTTTAAATAAAAATAATTTATTTTATGAATTTTAAGTTTAACATAAAAATAAGGATAAAGAAAAAAAAAAGAAAAAAGAAAAAGAAAAGAGGGGGGAGAGAGAAATGTTGAGTCCAGAAAATGAGAAGAAAAAAAATATAAAAGAGAAACGATAGAGGAGAGAGAATGTGAAGTCAAAAAGGCAGAGGGAGAGAGATCAGAAAAGGGAGAGACGAAAGGGAGGAGGAGAAGACGAAAATGAAGAGGAGAAGAAGAACAGAGATGATGGAGACAGAGAAGAAGGAGAAGAAGAGAAGAAGAAGAATACCTCAGTTAGGGCTTCTTCGATCCACCTCATGAGTTAGCTTCTCCTCTCCTTAGCTTCTGAACAGGTTAGCTTCTCCTCTCCCTTGATCTCTTTCTCTCCTTCTCTGTCTTCTCTCATTTTCTGTCTTCTCTCCTCCCTCGATCTCTCTCTCTTTTCTGTCTCCCTCGATCCCTTTCTCTCTTTCTCTGTCGATCAAGGAAAATAGTTAGGGCTCCTTCGATCCACCTCACGAGTGTCCGAAAAGTGTCCCGCCGTGTCCATGGCGTGTCCAAACTGGAAGATTTCAAAAAAAAAAAAGGAGACACGTTAGTGAGAGTGTCGGACACGTGTCTACCGCGTGTCCGACGCGTGTCCGTGTCCGACACGTGTCCGACGCTCGTCCGTGTCCGACACGTGTCCGACGCTCGTACCAGAGCCTGGGAACGTGTCGGTGCTTCATAGAAGGCAGCGATAACACTTAAAACAAACCAGAATCAAAGCAGTGAAATTCGTTATTAATTTTCAGAGTGGCATCAGCGTCTCTGATACCAAAATTGACGCACACATTGAAGTAAAGTAGTAGTACGGAACGAGCAAAAAAGGAGACAGAAGAAGCAGAGAATGGGAAGTATTGAGTAATGAAAGAAGATGAAAAACAGTGCTTTGGTGACCCAATTTGGGTACCAAACTTTGGATGCCCACCAATACATTGGTATAAGACATGAAACGCGGGGTCCATTAAACCAACACATTGGTGATACATCAGATGAGATGTTACATGGACTTGGATACGGCTGTCGGGTGCAGCTGTGTATCCAGGGTCAGATCCATCAAATCTCAAATTTAAGAGTATTCGGACTCAGTAAAAAAGGGTCATATTTTAATATTTTTAATTTATTTTGTGAAATAAAATGGTGTTATATGTAATATATCGTGTGAAAAAGGTATTTTACTCAATTATACAACAATATATACATATATATTAAATATAAATATATAAGAAGTGTCCAATGAAAAGTATCGAACACATGTCCCATACCCTTATCCAAGTGTCGGATGTCCAACATGGTTATTTGATTTACTCAGAAGAGTCAATGTAACATAGAGAAGATATACGAAATTCAATACCCAAATTTGGTTACCGTGACATTATTGGATGATGAAAAAAAAAAACGCAGAATCTGCTAAGAGAGAGAGGCATGAAAATCCTTAGTCAATTCAACTCTCAAAAGTCTACTAAAATTCATTAAACGAAGTCCTATATACTCAAAATATAGTCCTAAACAAATTTAAGCTCCTACATAACTCAAACTCTTGGTTGTTGCGTCCTTCACGATCTCTATCACATGCTTATAGAAATCTACAAGCAACATATGCTGCAATTTCTTTGTCCATCTCATACTTCTCATAGTTGTCTTAGCATGGAAATGGCTTTTGGAATTTCGTTTCCCAACAATTGCCTGAGTTTTTTTCTTGAACATTTCCAGGTCTTCCTACAAAGGATCACCAACTGCAATCTCTCCCTAGGCCCTGGTCAATACAGTTATATATATATATATATATGCTTTGCTTCATGTAAAAAGTCACTAGTATTCTTTATTACTCAGTACTCACTCCATCAATATCAAACATACCAACCATAAGCATTTTAGGACTTAATTATAACATAATCAAGCCCTAAGACATTGCTCCTGTAAGTTATCAAGCCCCAGACAGCTCCTATGAAAGGCAGCCTTGCCTCCCTGACCTTATTTGTTCAAAGACAAGCCTGCCATTTAAGTACTCTCAACCTGCCATTAGATGCAATTAGCTCTAACATCTAAGCCTTTATAGGGCATTTTAAGTACTCTCAACCTGCAAGGAAACCAGTTTTTTAAGAAAAGGAAAATCATGATCACATGGCTTCCTTCTTTACCCCTAAATCAAGGATCTGCGTACACACATTTTCCTTGCACTAACCTGATTGATATGGATAAAAAGTCACAATGGTCCACATCTTTGCACCACCATTTAGCCTATGTAAAATCATGTAGATCTTGATATTATTTTAAAAAGAAAATAACAAAATAACAACCAAATGGCCATATGGCCTATAAAGAAACACCTTTTAGGGATTAAATTATCATAAAATTAGCTAGAATTGCATAACATAACTAATTTTCTAAAGAATAATTGTAACAGATGATGAATCTTCAATATAGCAGCCTACTAGAATTCCTTCAATGAGCAAAAGCTACAATGAACCTTTGCGAAATTAATAAGTAGGAACTACTAAGATTTGACTGTCTTAAGCAAGTGCCCCTACTACAAGTGACACAAAGCAGTTAATAACTACGTGCTATGGGAAACATAAGAAAGAATGTAATAAAACATGCTACTCTTCAAAAAGTGCACCTCTTATATTTTCATTACCCCATGCTAGTCTAGCAAAGTGGGGTGTTTGAATGGCTAAATTGGCTAGAGACTTAACGTCTATTTGTTTTTGCAGAAAGTTGATCCTGTCAGACTCAAACTTGCTTCCTATGATTGACAGTCTGAGGTTTTACCATTGCACCAAGAATGGTCCCACAGCTCTCACATTATGAATTTGTATCATTAGCGTCATATTTGATTTCCAGCCAAAGTAAAGACCGTATAGTAGTTAGACATTTGAACGTCTCACTTCTTCACAAGTGTATAAGAGGAAAAAAAGCAATGAGAGGAGAAGAAACATGTATCCTTAGGATAAATGTTCATTTGCACTTCAAAGTTTCCCTGTCGGATAAAGTTGTGTAGTTGCTAGTTGAAACAATGTTAAAACATTGGTTCATAAGCAAGTGTAGCATAATGTAAACCTTGAAATATCAGTAAGTATTAAAAATGATGCAGCTATTTGAAAATGTTTGTTATTGTTCATCATCTGTTCTTCCTGCAACTGATGCATGACAATATGATATGAAATGTATACATGCTACATACATATCTGACACAATTTAATGCTACTGTTGCCAGCATGAAGACAATAATTGAGCGGTACGACAAATCAAAAGAGGAACACAACCAATTGGCAAACCCATGTTCTGAGGTCAAGGTAATCTTTAGAAAACAGCCCTCCATCTTCTGCAAAGTTTACTTTCATGATCTTAAAGGACCACTTTTCGTTTTTCATTTCATTGCATTTACCTTGAGTACAAGCCACAAGTTTCTAGTCAAAATAAGATAATTGTCAGCCTAGAAGAGTATCCACGAAAATGTGATCACAAAATCATTCATTATTGTCACCCACATCCCATGCTTACATTAGAATTTGTAAAAGGTACATAATTCCCATCAGTATGCATGCTTCAAATACCAAGTTTTGGCTAACCTGTAAGCCTATAAGGTGCAATAGATATAATGGTTAGTATTAAAAACAAATATATACATTTCTTCACTTGCAAAGCAAGGACAGACATGCTGCGTCTAGTCTATTTGACATGGCACTTGAGCCTGGAATTGTAATGGACATAGCAAAAGCATGATGCACTAAAAAGCATGCAAGCATATAATGTAGTTGCTCAAACATAGACTACCTTGTGAAAGGTGAAACAATGCTAGAGGTAGGTACTATAAATGCACCTGAAGGGCAAGAAGATGCCTGAAAAGGTAGCAGTGAAGACAATTGCAAAAAGTGAGTCTCTTCCAAAATGCAGGTTTGGAGCACGTGTTATTCCAATGTACTTTCTCATGACAAAAGTTGCACTCATCAATAGAAAGACAGTTTTGGATTTCTTGTAACTTGAGTAAGATGAGCAAACTAGGTAGGTAACAGTGGAGGTTGAGGAGCAGGAGCGACAAACACCGACCGAGAGAGGAATGCAATCTATTCCACCTTAAATCTTGTTTCCTCTGCAATAAGTTCTCAAACCGCTCCACCAAATGAAAGCAATGGAGACCGGTGAAGGAGCACCTAAAAGAGGCTCAAATCAAACCGGTCTCCAAGAGGGATAAGTAATTGCACCAGCCTCTATTCTCTCTCTAGTTCACATAGCTATATAGAAAATGCAAATCAAATGCTTCCATAAGTGCTAATTGATTTGTCATTCTGTGTGGCACTTTAAATGGACATCTCCACTTCATATTGGTTGACAAACTTAGACTCAAGATAGATGACCTTTTCAAATAAAATCACACCTTATTTACTGTGTCATATTTGAAAAAATTCATACTAATATTGGTTCCACAGAGTTGTACAACCAAGTAAGTTCCTGTGCATTTTTCATCTCCCAAGTTGTAAAAGATTTTTTAAATCCTTCAACATTAGGATCCGTGGGCTTCTAAACCTGTAATATAACCCCACTTTCCTTTACCAAGTAAAAAATTGTTCATGAAATTAGACCAATAAGAATAATATGGGAGAACAACAAGATCGTTGAGCTCCCCGAATTCCATGGAAGTCTCAATTCGGATGAGTTTTTGGATTGGACAAACACTACTGAATGAATATTTGAATTATGATGTTTCAGATGGAAAAAGGTAAAAATGGTGTCTATACGCCTCAAGGGGGAGTTTCCACTTGATGGGACAATTGCAAGTGAGTAGACAACAAAAAGGCAAGGGAAAAATTCAAGATTGGGAGAAAGTGAAGAAGAAGCTCAAAGAGCAATTCTTGCCTTTCAATTATATGCAAACTTTGTACAAGCGCTTGCATAACCTTAAGCAATTTGGTAGTGTTGAGCAATATACAGAAGCCTTTTTCAACTTGTTGCAAGAGTTGATCTCAATCAGATCGAAGAGTAAATGGTTGCAAGATACATAAGCGGTTGAAGCTTTCCATTCGAGATGTACTTGATTTTCACATTTTATGGTCCATCTTGGAGGTTTACAATAGAGGTTTTGCGGTTGAGAAGCAATAAAGCCAAGGTGTCTATATAGGACATGACAACACTTCCAAGGTGGTTTTAGGCCAAGCCAATCTACTCCTAGCTTTGCTAAGGCTAGTCCTTCGACAAACTTGGATAAAGCTATCCCGGCGCAAAATCAATGCGAAGGATGCTTCGAGGAGCCAAAATCATCCCTACAGCGGTGACTTTACGTGCTTCAAGTGTGGACAACCGGGTCATAAGACTTTGGGCAACAACTGAAATAAGAAGCTCCTTCTTGAGGAAGTAATGGAACAAAGTTGTGATGATGATATTCCAATCTATGACCAACCATCTAATGAGGAAACAAGTCTAGATGTCGAAGAAGGACTTGCTCTCATGATCAAGAGAACTCTTCTTACGCCTAAGCAAAAAAGTGAGGAGGATTGGTTGTGTACCAACATTTTCAACACTACTTGCAACATTGGAAGTCGAGTTTGCAACATGATTATTGATAGTGGAAGTTATGAGAATGTGTGTAAACACCCATTTTAACTAGCCTTTAAGACTTTGGTACCCCAAGTACTGTCTAATGATTAAATAATCACATTAGTGCGGTATTGCTTTTGGTTCGGAAATGAGACTGTCAATCCCTCGTTTTCAATAGCCTAGCCTGTTTTTCCAAAATTAATTCTTTCCAAAAATAAGAGGTGGATCCCCTATTTGTGCATCAAACTAGCCTCGAGTGCGAAAATATTTGTTTTCAAAAAATAAAGATCAAAGTTTAGTTCAAAAATTCATTCTAAGGTTGATTAAATGCACACAAGTGAAAAAAAAAACCATCTTGAAATCAGATTTACAGATGAACCAATGTGAGGCCCACAAACTCGCTTTGGGCAGCCGCACGTGGTCCATCCGGCAACACACCTTGTGCCTCAGCCGCACAGTCGAACTGCTGCCGCACGGGTGGATGTGCGTTCGCACGCTTTGTGATTCTTGCACGTGATTCTTGAGAGAGAGAGAGAGAGCATGTAGCAGCGACGACGATCAATTTGCGGTTTGGATTTGGTGTTAAATAGCTTCAAATTGCTATGGTCACTAGTTTCGATCTCTATTTGTAGTGACCATGGATTTGGGTCCTTTGGATTTGAGGAATTTAGCCATGGATTTAGAAAAATCGTGGAGGCTAGGTCATCGCAATAGCGTAGGGGTTTGGGGCTGGGACGGAACGATGATCACGATGGCATGGGGAATAAATGTTCAAGATTTGAGAAAGGCAACCATGGATTTGATAAAGACGTGGTAGCTAGGTCATCACGGTGGCGTGAGGGTCGAGATAGAGAGGGAATAGTGATAGCAATGTGGCATGTGAGCTACGAACATGTGTAAGAGAAATAAACCTTGAATTCAAGGAAGAAAGAAATCGTTCACGGTGGGATGGAAGGAAAAAATGACTGCTGATCGTTGTTCATGGTGAGGAGTGGGGAGAAAAGTGGAAAGAGGGTTGGTGGTCGATCGATCGTAGGCATGGGGTGGTGATTCGAGGCTGGTGTAAGGAAAGTTGAAGGTAAATAAACCCTAGGCTAAACCTAACTCTCTCTCTCTCTCTCTCTCTCTCTCTTGGGTAGATTGAATTGAAGGGTAGTTTCTCAATTCTTTATGAAAATAAGCCTCTGTTTGGCAACATAGGTTTTGGGTTTTTTTTGGTTATTTTAGTCATAAAAGACAAAATAGGCTATTTTAGCCACAAAAAACAAAACATCACATCCAATTCATAATCATTACACTCTTCTCTCACAAAAAAAGCTAAAAAAGCCAAAAAACCAAAAAGCCCTTCCCAAACCAAACTTTTTAGCCCAGGCTAAAATAGCCCAAAAAGCCAAAAAGCCAACCCACTTCCCAAACCAACCCTAATTTGACAATAGTTGTGTTTGGTAGAGTTTTGTAATTATGATTTAAGAGTATGAGTTGTATTTTGAGTTTGTAGAGTTTGTAATTATGATTTGAGTATAGAAAATTTATTTCGTAAAGAATTTTGAAAATAGTTTTGAAAAGAGTTTTGATTTGAGTAGGGAATTGTTGATGTGACATTTGATATTTGATACAAAAATTTACAACTCATAACTAAACATACAACTCAAAAATATTTTAAAGCACATAAAAAATTTTAAAAATTTCAGAAAATATTTTTTTCGATCATATAAAAATTAACATATCAATTGCAAAAAAAAAAATATTATTCCGGTCAACCGGCCGAACGACCGATTAGGCAAAATTTGCAAAAAAAAAAAATTCTGAAAGCGCAACTGGTGCAGACTTCTCTACAGAATTTTGGAAACGTGTTTTCAAAACACATTCCAAACACCATATTCAAAACTCAGTGTAGAATTACATTTTAAAAACATAACCAAACATTTTTCAGGAATTCCATATTGTAAGCAAAGGATGAAGAACTGCAGATTAAGGGTGTTTACGGATCGGATTAGTCCGATTTTATAGTACATTGGGAACTGAATCAGTCCCTATGATTTTAAGAAAATTAAAACCATAACTAAATCGTTAAACTTATATAACCGAATCAGAACTAAATCATAGAAACCGATTTGGTTCGATTCGGTTCTACAATTCTAAAAATTATAAATATCAAGAAATATAATATATATTTTATGATAGTAAATATGCTAATAATAATTAATTTAGTTAAATTTGTTAGAGTTTGTCAATTTTATAATATAGTTTGGTGCTCAAATCTCACTAGTTACTTCTATATTTTTATTTTTAAATAAATAAATATATCACAATTCGGTTAAGAACTGTAACAAATTCTTGAAATTGAGAACCGGACCAATTTAAACGATTCCACCATTTTCGAAATTGAAACCCGAACCGAAACTAATAAAAATTGGACCAAGCTGATGATGTAAACAAGATTGGTTCTATTTATTGATTCTATCGATTTTTTTGAACACTCCTATCATAGACAAGTGTGGTCCATGACCATGATACGGCAACCAAGCCAAGCGAAATGAGCCAAGCTAGCAGCCTAAGTTCTTCAACTGAGCCATCAGGCCCCGTTTGTTTCCAGAGATGGAATGGAAGGGATTGATAGTAAGGGGATTAATAGTGAGGGGATTGTTAGTGAGGGTCGTTTGTTTTCAGAGATAGAATGGAGGGGATTGATAGTGAGGGGATTAATAGTGAGGGGATTGTTAGTGAGGGGATTGACAGTGAGGGGATTAGTAGTGAGGGGATTGATAGTGAGGGGATTAGTAGTGAGGAATTGTTAAATTATTTTTATATAAAATAATAAAACAAATAAAAAAATATAAAAAATTAAAAATTATATTTTAAAAAAAATTTCCAATATATAAAAAATAAAAAAAATAAAAAAATTTCTAATCCCCTCACTATTTTTCTAATACCATCTCTACCTCCTCACTATGAATCCCCTCCCCAAGGGTATTAGCAATACCAAGGTATTAGTAATACCCTCCCTATCTCTCAAAACAAACAAGGTATTAGTAATACCAAGGTATTAGTTAGTTCTAAGGTATTAATAGTCCCAAGGCTATCTCTCAAAACAAACACCACATATACTAATCCCAAGGTACTAGTAATCCTAATCCCCTTGCTATAACCCAAAACAAACGGGGCATCAGAGTGGCGTATTTGAGATCTCTCTCAATGGTCGGCTTGGCAATCTAAAAGACACTTTTTGGGTAAACTAATGAACACGTGTCAATCAAGGGACCAGCCACGCTTACTCGCTCATCTACAACCATTTTCAATTTAATCTTGGCATCTCCACGCAAATCCACAATCGACGCGTATTCTATTCGAAATTCGAATAATCACCTTTCACCTTTCGAGTCTTCGAGGCTTCACTTTAAAAATAAAAATAAAAATAAAACTAAAATTAAAGTTAAATATATGGATAGAGGGACGTAACCAACCTATTGGAGAGAGCCACGTGTCAACTTATGATGGATGAGAATATACTAGAAATCAATTATTTCATCTTAGAAAAATAATAAATGTGCAAGGATATTTGAGTGAAGTAATGCTAATCCAGTTGTAACGAAGATATTAGGCTTGTGTGGTTTGTTTTTTGGAGAGTTGTTTTTGAAAAAAAAAAATTCAAAATTTTATTTAATTTGTGGTTTTTCTTAAAAAAAATTCAAAATCACTCTCTCTCTCTTACATATCAAATCACTTTTTCTTTCTCATCTCTCCTTCTTAATTATTTTTTCTTTTACACACATCTATTCAATTACAACAAAATATCAAATCATTCTAAACCCTCAAACTCCAAAACTATTTTAAAAATATATAACCAAACAAATCAAAAAAAATTCTAAACTTTGTCCTTGATTTTATTTTATTTTTGAAAATCACTTTTTCAAAAGCAAACTATACACACCCATTTTGTTCGGGGTACAAGCAAAAGTTAGAGCTTTTTTAATAGATTGATGACCCATATTCTCTATTTTTCTTAATTTGTTAATTTTAAGAAAAGAGTATACCTGTCACGTGTAAAAATATGAATGATTATATCATCTATTGAGTGTTGATCCCTATTATTCGATGATTTTTTTATAAAAAAATTATTTAGGCCTCGTTTGAGAACATATTTTTTTAATATTTTTTTAGTTTTTTAATTAAAATATAATGTAAAAAAATTAGTATGTTTGAGATGATTTTTTAACTTTTTACGAAAATATGTGCAAAAAGTAGGGAGAAAAGAGAATCTTTGACTTTTTGATATAGGTTGTTGGCTTTTTGATTTTTTTAATAACTTTTTAATTTTTTGACTAAAACAGTTACTTGCCAAACGAGGCCTTAGGCCTCGTTTGGGAACAGGCTAATTTAGTAACTGTACGGGAAAGAAATAAACCTTCTCGTATAATCCTGTTGATCAAGTCTGCGCTCCTCTAAACGTCGTCACTTTACTCCCTGAAAACACAAACGTGAGCTAGCCGGCGGGTGTGTGCCGGAAACCCCTCCGATGCCTAAGTCAGAAAAATGGACAAAGACAAAAGCTCTGTGTATTCAAGAATCAAAGTTGTGTTACCTCTCCATAGGTGATGTTTGTGAGCTTTTATAGATTCCGTGTGGCACAATCTAAGTAGGACTCTTACTCCTCCATGTAAAGTCCTCATAGGATTCATACTCCTGAAAGATAATGCTTATCCTTCAACACCCCTCTCACTGCTTAAACCAAGTGAGATGGTTTTTACTATGGCCGAACTCCAATATGACCAAAGTAATCATGATCACGCCGAGCCATAGAGTAGACCGAACTATCGTTAGTTTGGTTTTACCTTCAATGTTCTTACCCCAGTTCCTCCTATGTCAACAGTGTTAAGTCTAAACCGATCTAACTTATAGCAAGGCTTTTAGACCGAACTAACCATACTGCACCTTAACCGATATAAGATTTAGTATGGTGACCGGGCTAACCTCTTTATGACCGAAGTAACTTTAACGGCTTTTTTACTCATCCCTTCGCCCTAAGGCCCACAACGGCCTATTTACGTAGCTCGGTCCAATTTCCATATAAATTACCCTCTCAATTGCCCCTTAATTCCATCTGCATAGCATGATAGGGATAACTTGATTAACCAGCCGGGCTAAGGTTTTTAAGCCTTTTCAGCCGAGCTTAAAACCCTTTAGCTTTTCCAACCGAGCTCAAGCCCTTTAGCTTTTCCAGCTGAGCTAAAATCTTTTAGCCTATCCAGCCGAGCTCATTCCATATCGGGCTCTGCATGTCAGGTCAAAACGTCTCTTCAATCACAGCAACTGAATCGTTTCTCCTTCCCCTGACACGTGGCACGCCCTTATTGGCCTATTGCAGCTGTTACGCCGCCCTCGTACTTCGCATAATTTGAACAGTTCTCGCCTTTTGCCCCTTCTCTTTCCACAAAATAACCCTTTGTTTCTGAATCACTTACACTATTCACTCTTTCTTCTCTCCTTTTGCCTCCATTGTTCTCCATCCTTTGCAACTGTGAAGCTCGTGCTCGTTGTTATTTTCTACTTCCATTTCCTTCTCTTCACCTGGTAAGTTTTTCAAACCTGTTTTGCTTTTGTGGTTTTTGCATTTGCTTTCTTTCATTCTTGGCACACTGTTTCTGTTTTTGCAAAACATATTTTCTTGCTCTACTTTACATTTTCTAGGAAAAAACTTCATAAGAACCCCATAAACTTCATGAAGCTGTCTGCAGAACACTTAGTTTGATCCACAATTACCATATAATCGAACTAAAAAGTAGTTTGTAGTCAATGTCATTCTATCAGACTACTTAACCGAACTAGCACTCCATGTTGGTACCAGTAGTTTCAATAAGTCAAACCACTTCTTGATAGACCTTAGCCGAGGTATCCAACCGAACTAAGTCTGCACTTAGTATACTGGGAAACCTTAATTTCGACCGATCTAGGTCTTTGGGGCTAAACCAGCTTTCTTAGTTTTTAGACCGAACTCAGAAAGCTGCCCCTAGGCGCTCAACCGGTCTAACATTACCTACTAATTCATCTGAGCTACCAAGCACCTTGTTGAAACCGAGATAGAACCTATAGCATGCACATAGCCGAAGTAGGACTCCTATTCTTGCTTTTATTTTGTAGCACGGT